AAAACCCCAAATGAATTAAAGTTAATTATAATACAAGCTTATTAAATATATATAATATTTTCTAGTTGTATTTATTTCTTTAAATATCAATTATCATTCGAATTCACTGCTTTAAGTCTATACTTCTCTTTCTTTGATGAGTTAAAACTAGTAAACCTCTATTTCTAAAGGCTTAAATTAAGTTCCATCCGCAAAGTATGTTCTAATTTCTTAATAATTCAATGATTAATTTGTTGAAAGTTCATTTGAGTTTCTAGGGAGGCTTTCAAAATTATTGATAGCATTTCTTTCTTCAACAATTGTAATGTCACGAAGTCCAAATGTAATTGAATTATTTTGATTATTTGCAATTGTATCATCAAATAACTGCAAATTAGTAAGCGTAGTTTAGCTGCTCAAAGGAAAAGAAAATGCCTCGCAATCATTCTCATTATTAGGATTAGAAGTCTAAGAAATGGAGCAATAGCTTCCAAATACCATCCCTTATTCACTAAGAATAAAAGTTATAGTAGGTCCTTTATTATCACAATTTTTATGGAAATCATTTTCTGATAAACCATCTCTTGATGCTTTGTATAATAATTAAAGATTCTTCTTTCCCTATTCGAATCAGTTCGCTAAAGTTGATTTGTTCATAGTCTAATCTGTCAAATCTTCAATTTACTCATCTATGAGTCTTCTGAATTCCAAAAGTCTTGTATCATTTTATAACTTGTTTAAAGGGTTTTACTACAATTCAGAATCAGGTTAAATATTATTTGGAGGAAAGACTATTGGATTTCCCTAAACTATTTTTTTACTCGCTATTGGACTATTTATCTTTGATGATTTTATTATTTTCTTTCTGAAAATATTCTCTTTATCAATTTCAAACAAAGCTTCAAAAGATGAACTATAAAATATTTATAAATTAAATGTTAAAATTACGAGTCTGTTTTAATTTTTTCAAAAATCTGTTATCCATAGTTTTTCTAAAACTCTAAAATTGAATCAGGAATAGATAATTCTATGACTGAACTACTTTTTTTAATCAAATCGTTTAATTCTTAAATATTAAAATCCCTGACTTTGCCTTAAAATTCTTGCAAATTATGTATTAATTTTATAATTCTTTTAAGCTTATCAGTCAATTTTGCCAATGTTTTGTGAAAAACTTCATCCAAATACTTCCTCTCCAACAAAATATGCAAATGATTATTATTAACGTAATGTTAATGAGGATCGTTTAAAGCACATTCTTCACAAATTAGCATGTTCTCAAGTTAACAATAAACAGTTGCATTATATCCACTGTGCTTATCACATTATATCCCATGAATATCAAATTTTTCAAGTAATTAGATTAGTTTCTTAGGTACATCAACTTGCTCAGATTTAGGGATTAGATGATTGGTATCAAAAGGACACTAGATAACATTAGTCTACAACAGTTCTGACTGTTTTTGGTAGCATTATTAGCACATTACATCTCCACAAGAAAGTAGAACTGGTCTTCATTTGAGTAGATTATAATATTTGTTGCAGCAAAAGCAAGTTATAATACTTTTATCACTAGTCATCTTAATATTTTAATTTAATTTTAACAACTTTTCTAACTTTTAAATTTTATAATCAAAAAATAGCAGTTATAGTCGATGAGTGGGGTTTTGGGGTTTTGGGG